GAAATAAAAGCGATTGACTTGTCTGCTTCTTTCTTTAAGCCTAAAAAAATATTAAATTAATCATTCAATTTAATAATTAAAAAAATTAATCTAAAAACAATAATAACTAAATAAAACCTAATAACTCGATAAATAATGCCCCTATAATATTTTTCGAGTTCTTAGCCTCTGATAACCGTATAAATTCTGGTTATATTTTAAGTAAAGTAGGATTAGATCTTTAAACAGATGATAAAATTCACTTGATACTATTCTTTTGTCCATAAAATTTAAATTTGATATCTTAGTTAGGTGATATCAACCTCCTTCTCATTGGGTGCAAAGAGTGATTCTTAAATAGAGGTAAACCCAACAGCGGTCAGATTACAGCTTACCTGTGATATATAGTCCATATAGATTAGAGTAAGTTCCGTTCAAAGATCGATGGTGGCCAGTAAAGCACATCCTCCGGGCTGCAATGGAGGTGGAAGCACAGCATCCAGGAAAATGATATCTGTTGCACACCAATAATGAATTAGAACTAAGGTAAAGTACACAAATAAACCCCCAAGTATAAGGTGTTGTTTTGTTTAGTACCTCGACATTAAAAACCACTAAATGATTCTTTGACTATAGGATATTATTTTGTTGAGTTCCCCAATTTTTAAAAATTTCAAAATGGTAACATGACTATTTATATGTTTCAAACTCATCCTTTTATGTTAAAAAATTGTCGGTAGTCCGAGCTAGATGTTAACATGCTACTGTGATATGAAAATTTATGAGAATCATCAAGAACAAAATAAAAAATCATATTAAAAGGTCATAATGGAATAGTCAACTTTTTAGGGCTCGAATGCAATTATTTCATTACTAAATTATAATTTTAGAATATCATAGAGACTAAATAGAAATCATTCCTTTCTTTGGGGTAGGCCGTGAGAACTATTTCTTAAATTTAATTGTTATCGCGATAAAGGTAAATATATTTAGAATTTAACCTATGTATTTTTATAAATGTTGCACGTTTTAATAAGTTAGCAGTTGAAATAAAAACCAATGATTAGGTTGGTGAAATTTTTTTGATACTATAATGATACATTAATAATTTAATTATATAACATATTTAAAGTTTATAAATAAAATTAAATTTTAGATTATAACCTTATGGTGTTTTCTACAATTAATGTAAATTTAAACAAATAATAATAATTTTATTTTTATTTTTAGAATTTATCGTATATATATAAATTGTATATTCTAAGATCAAAGTCAACGAAGGATTATAAGGTACCAAGCCTCATAATTTTTTATATAGTAATATTTTATTTTTTAAATTTAAATATTGAGTAAATAAAAGTTTAATTTTTCTACTTTTGGAAAATAGAAATTAATAAAATATTATTATTATTATTATTATTATTATGTAAAATAATTTAAGTTCATCCAGTATTTAATTCTAAATTTATAATTATGTACGTATATGTTACAAAGGAAAACTAGAGTCCACCGATACCAATAATATCGTATTAAAGATTTAAAGTGCAATGGGAATAGAATGTTGCATTTTCATAATTTTGGCAAAACAAACAAAAATGCAATATTATGCATCGAAAAGTAGCTCGTGTTCAACTTTGTATCCAGCGAGCTACCTAACAAGTTGTGTATATAATATTAGTAAATTATATATCATATGTAGAGTTATTTATACATTCTTAAATTTTATATGATGAATCAAGAAAAATATTATATAAATTAACTTAAGAAATATTATGAAGTGTTACAAATGTCATGTATCATCTAAAGATTAGTAATATGTGAATTATCCTACATATATAATGCTCTCATGGGCCATTTCTATGTAGGTCTACAATATGATCCAGTGAGTTAATATGCAATTGCACTAAGCTCCTGATGGAATTAAATGCATTCTTATTATTTTAAAAAATAATTAAAATTAGTTTAATGTGTTAAGGGAACAATTAAAAGTTTAAAAAAATTTGCATACCTATTATTTAAAAAAGAATATTGAATTTTAGATCTTTGTTCTTAAATTTTTAGATCTGTCACTAAGTGAATTCATGTATAGAATGTGTGTGATTGATATGCAATGATGATATTATATGGTGAAATATACAAGTTTGGCTATATATTTCACTTGTAAATTTACTTAATAAAATTAGTGGTAAAAGAAAATATCATTTTATCTATGTTCGAACAGTTACATTTACATGATATATATACATATTGTTAACAATTAAGAAATACCCTAAACAAATAATACATTGTAATCACCTAAATTATTAAAAAAAATATCATGTTTTTATCATATTTAATTAATTTTAATAGCCCATTATACTTTTTTGTTCCATTCTAAAAGAAATAAGATTCTTCTTGATGATATTTTGATTTTTATTTCAGTTTTTTTTTTGTCTAAATGAAATTTTGGGCATATTGATTAAACAAAAAAAGCAAAAAAGAAGAATGGAAAAGAGATAACCTTGTAATCTACGCTAAACATGGCCATGGCCTCAACCTCATCCATAAAGTTGAGAAACAAAAAGTCGACGTCGTTTTCCCACCAAATAGCGTCCCATCGAATATTTCCAAAATAGTTAATTAATTAAGGGTAAACTACTCAGATAGTCTCTTGATTGTAGCTCATTTTTTAGCTGCATCTCCAACTATGACAAATTACTAAATAATCTATCGAGTTTACTAAAAGTTACAAAATAGTCATTTTTGTTAAATAATTAATTGGGATATGATGTGATAGTTACAAAATTGTTAATAACATTGATAAATTTGAGTGACTATTTAATAATTTTTAATAATAGAAAAATACAACTAAAATATGTACTATAGTGGAGGGATTATATGTGTAGTTTATCCATTAATTTAATGCCAAATATAAAAAAGTAAAAGAACAAAAGAAGGTCAAAATTCATGTAAGGTCCCTTTATTATACGTTAGTTTATATAAACTTAATATATATTTTTTGAAATGTGTATTTGCCCCTGTTTTGAGTTACCATTACAATAAACATATATATTATTACAATTAATTAGTAGAATAAAAAATATTATTACAATTAATTAGTAGAATAAAAAATAAATTATAATTATGTACAAAACTCATAAATAACATTTACACATGATAAGATCCGAATTAAAAAGTCAAATACTAAAATTTTAATTTCATTGACATATTCAAAAACTCATTGCTAATCATGAGGTTAAATATTATAATGGACTAACAAGAAAAAATAATGAGTTCAATTTTTTATTAATTTCATGAAATAATTTTATATTGTTGATGACAATCAAACTATATGGCTGGTCGTTGGTGGGTTACTATTAATTTAAGTGAAGAGTTACGATCAATGTTTGAAAGAGAGAGACAGTGGATGAGAAAGAAGAAGAGGGTTGGCCAATTATAGATGGTTTATTATTCTTTTCGGTCTTGATTGAGAGTATTTATAGTGGCTTTTAGTATGTGTCAATTGTCGGATCATCATGACAATTTGTAGGTCGATAGGTAGTTAAATTTTAAATTTTGTTCTAACGCATAAATCTGTCTGTCAGAAGTCTTGTTTATGTGTTCTAGTTGATCAAAAGTTTGTCTACGGAATGTAGACTAGTCGAAGGCTTTGCTAGATAGAGAGTTTTTAAGAGGTCATCATCAGAGAGATATAACAAGTTGTCTCCCCTTAATTAAAGGGAAATGTCATAAGGTGGCTTCAGTGCCGGCCTTGGGCATAGGCCAGGGGACGACCGCCTAGGGCCTCAAGTTTGGAGGGGCCCATTTTTTAAATTATTTTTAAGTTTAATAATTAAAAAATATTTTTAAACATACTTTTTATTTCAAATACTCTAAAATATGGTAATTTAGTGGGCCTCAATAATTAAAAAATATTTTTAAACATCATTTTTTATTTAAAAAACTCAAAAATATTGTAATTCAGTGGGCCCCATTTTAATGATGGGAGAAATCTAGATATGGGCCCCCACTTGTCTTCTTGTCATCACATTATGATCTAGGGCCCTTAAAATGTCAGGATCGGACCTGGGTGGCTTGACCCGAGAGTTATGATTTAGATATAACGACTCTTTCTTAATTTACTTAGATGTTTTATGATTAGAGATAAATGGATTGTGTTAGATATTTGCGATTCACCCATTATAGTTTCAGCAAAGAGTCGTTATTGGTGAGAGAACGACCGTTGATCAATATTTAAAGGAGGAAGAGAATAGGCAGGGAAGAAGAAGACAGTCAGTTGGTTATGGGCAGTTCATCCCTTTCTTTATGTCTTGGTCGAAGATTTTTATAATGGTATTTAGTGTGTGAGAGTCATAGGGTCATAATAATTATTTTTTATCTATAAACCATGTAGAATTGATAGTTAAACTTTAAATTTTGTTCTGACGTATTATGTGGGCTTGTCGAAGGAATTGTTTGTCAAATGCTTTGTCTATGCATTGTAATTGACCATATATTTGTATTTCATAAATGTAAGTTAATCGAAACTGAAACTTATGTTAGATGAAGAGATTTCTGAAGGTTATTTTCGGAGATGTAAAAGATATAAATTATTATTATTATTATTATTATTTCACTATGTGGTTATATTATATACATTGATATTGTTATACAAGATACATATTATATATATATATGTTAAAAAATGTATCTCGTTATATTATTTAATCGAATTAACAAAAAAAATTAGCATTCAAGACTGAGTTGGTAATACGCATTTAAAAAAAATTGGGATATTGAAATGATAAAATTATAGCCAGGACTAATTTTGCAAAAAATACATAGTAAAGGGAGCAACTAAAATATTTGACCAAAAGAAAAATGGAAGAGAGAGAGATAGAGAGTGGGGAGGGCTCCAATAATCAGCCAAAAAGCTTCGTCGCATTTCCAGCTTCGTCATTATCTTCCAATTTCCATTTTTTTATACATTTTCTCCCACATTTAAAGAGAAAAATAAGAGAGTAACTGTGAAAGTTTCAATTGAAAGGATAGAGTGTAAAATATCTTCGATGTTAATTTTTGTTAACAAATATATTAAATCGGTGTTCATCGATTATGAGGAAAAAAAGAGTGATAAATGATCACCGATGAATTTTTCACTGTGTATAAAATATAGATGATCGATCGAGAAGCTTGCATTTTTGAAATTGAGATTGCTTCAATTCGATGAAATATTTCAATCTTTTTTTTTTTTTTGGAATTTGAGTGGCAGATCGGATAGTTGATGCATTGAGCTTGATTTTATTTTATTTCGTGAGGTGGAATCGGTTTTTCGAGCTAAGAAGCAATGAATAACGGCAGTGCGGAAGAAGCAATGGCTCCGGTGGGAGGATCACAACCGTTGGAGTGGAAATTTTCGCAGGTGTTTGGAGAGCGGACTGCTGGAGAGGAAATACAGGAAGGTGCAATTATTGAATTTATTCGATTCAGTTTCCTAGGGCTATGAATTTTTTAATTTTATTTTATTTTTCCTAATAGCTCAGTTTTTATTATAAAATCATTTTTCATCATTGTTATTTCTTTTATCGGTTGTTTACGTGAGTTCAGTGTGATATACATTAGGTTGGATTACTTTCTAATGTTAAGATGCAGGTCTAGCTTAATCAGTGTAGCTTTTCAAGGTGTGATGTGAAACAATGGTGTGTAAATTGTTGTTTATCAATTTCTGCCTGTTATATAATTATCGATTGACTTTCAGCTGAGATTAGGTGTTATTGACTAAATGATTGAAATAATTAATCAACAAAATATGATTTCATACATGGTTGCCTATTGTTTGCCGCAAGTTGTTCTAGTTAGTAGTGTCTTTTTCTTGGAGACTGGTGCACCAAAAAGAAAATGGTATCAAACAAGCCTTAGCTGGTAAGTGACTGAGTTTGTATGTGTGATTGATGCACTTGACATTAGGCTGTGATTTCTGGACTAACATGGTCAATGTCAAAGTGCATTAGCTTCATGTGTGCGTTTATTGCAGCTTGATCTTTCACATTGGAGTTGTAGAAAATGGAAAAAAGGTCCAAATGAACTAATCAAATTGTCTGACTTAGAATATAGTCACGTGAGTGACCAGGCCTGTGAGTTAATGTTGTTGTTGGCCTGTGGGTACCATTTAAGTTCTTTAAGTGAAACATTTTCAGCTGTGCTGTTAATATGTTTGCTCTTTATGATGCCTTCCTTTCATCGTCCTCAATGTTAAGAGGGATTAAATTGAAAATTTGGAGATACTATTCTCCATGATGCTCTTTGATTGATGATTCTGCTTGTGTGAAGTAAACAGATATGGGTGTGATGTAGTTGGTACTTGTTTTTCATACATTTCTGATTCCTCTGCTAACTTCATTTACGTGGCATTTTTTCCTTTTCAGTTGATATCATATCCGCCATTGAATTTAATAGAACTGGCGATCACCTTGCTACCGGGGACCAAGGAGGTCGAGTGGTTTTGTTTGAAAGGACAGACACTCGAGATGTATGTTGCTTACTGCTTCCTTGTTTATGTTTCTGAAGCTGTGTTGTTTCACTTACCTCAGTTGTTCTCTTGTTTTGTGATACATTCTTTCAAAAAACTGTATAAAATGTAGCATGTTGGGCGTCGGAGAGATCTAGAGAAGATGGATTATCTAATCAATAGGCACCCCATGTTTCGCTATAAAACAGAGTTTCAAAGCCACGAACCTGCGGTATATATGTTTAGATTATGCCAGACACAAACACAATGATGTTTGGATTGACATACTAAAACATTTCTAGTCTTGACTTTCACTGAAATGTCTACTTTATTGGCTTAATACAGTTTGACTATCTCAAGAGCTTGGAAATTGAGGAGAAAATTAACAAAATCAGGTGGTGCCAGTCAGCTAATGGCGATCTTTCTCTTTTGTCGACTAATGATAAAACAATTAAGTTTTGGAAGGTAGGCAAAGGCATCTTTTTATCTGAGATTTTATAATTATGAAGTTACACACAGATTATTATTTATTGTGATTTCTAAGGAACATCAATAATCCAAAAGTGGCAGTACGGCTAATCTACAATTCTAACCTTGTTACCTGGTTGGTCTTTCTAATGTCATTTCAAACTTGGACAGGTACAAAAGAAGAAGGTCAAAAAAGTATGTAAGATGAATGTGGACTCCACCAAAGCCAGGGGAAATGGTCCTATTGTTGGTTCAAGTATATCAACAAGCTCCAAACAAAACATTGCAAATGGAGGATGCACAAGCAATGACTTTTCATTCCCAACTGGCGGTTTCCCATCTTTGCGTTTACCTGTGGTAGTTGTTTATCCAGAATGCTTACTTTCTAAGATACTTCGGAATCTTTTATGATATTTTTGTAATATTTCTATTTTTAGGCTATGTTTGATATGTCAAAATTATTGTCTATGTGGTCTGTTGATCTAATGCATAATTCTTTTGTTATAATTAGGTAACTAGTCATGAGACAAACCTTATGGCCAAATGTCGAAGAATATATGGTCATGCTCATGACTATCACATTAATTCCATATCCAATAACAGGTTTGTATTCTTATTTCAATGGTTTTAGCCCCAATTCCCCCCCCCCCAATATATGGACTAGAAGATCATACATTGAGAGAGTAGTTGCTTCACTTTTGATCTGAAATATATGGTCTTCAAAGCTTGCTCATGATTTGATGAAATACTTATTTTTCCGTTCTTATTGGTTTGTAGTGATGGTGAAACTTTTATTTCGGCTGACGATCTGCGAATTAATCTCTGGAACCTTGAAATTAGCTGCCAAAGTTTTAACATCGTTGATGTGAAGCCTGCAAACATGGAGGACTTGACTGGTGCGAATCCATTTTGACATGGACATTATGGATATGTTTGCTTTTTTTTAATTATTTTTTATTTATCTTTTATTGCTTATGGTTCTATAGGTAAAAGATTCTGTTCTTTCTGGTGTCCCAAATCTCACCCCTATTTCTTTCCCTTCTTTTTGGTTATGTATCTGCAAATATTTTTTTCCTTTTTCTACACCTTCCTTTTTTTCTTAGTTGCCTCTCTTCATATCATCTTTGGGTTCTGCAAACATCATTCTTATCAATTTATTCTTATCAAAATATTCTTATCAATTTATGATGTTTCTCTGTAAAATACAATTCTCTATGTACTTTTCATGTTGGCATGATTCATTTGCTTGAGTATATATTTGCAGAGGTGATAACTTCAGCAGAATTTCATCCTATACACTGTAATATGTTAGCTTACAGTAGTTCAAAGGGTTCAATTCGTCTTATTGATATGCGACAGTCTGCGTTGTGTGATAGACACAGTAAATTGTAAGTGACTTGTGGTATTTTTGTTTTATCTTGGTTGATTCATTATGGTCGTTTGAGAAGTCGCTTTCTTTTTTCTGATTTTTGAAGTTTCTTGATGGCACAGGTTTGTGGAACAAGAATCTCCAGGCTCGAGGTCTTTTTTCACAGATATCATAGGATCTATCTCAGACATCAAGTTTGCCAAGGATGGAAGACATATGCTAAGTCGTGACTACTTGACCCTTAAGGTTGATATGTTTTTATGGAATTAATTCTTCTCCTTTTGAACAACACATTGCCCTTATGTACCTACGGCATCTGGTCCAGTTAAAACTTCCTATATTTGTTTACGCCTTCCTCCTATTGTTCTGTAACAAGGTTTTGATTTCTTGGCTGTCAGTTGTGGGACATAAATATGGACTCTGGTCCAGTTAAAACTTTCGAGGTTCATGAATACCTTAGACCTAAGGTAATGTGTTCTTCTGAGATTCTTCTGTTTTGTTTTGATACTATTTAAAAAGAATATGCCATATTTACCCCATATGATGGATGTTTTTTTCTTTCCTTTTTTTCTTGGGGACCTTGAGCAGCTTTGTGATTTGTATGAAAATGATTCCATCTTTGACAAATTTGAGTGTTGTCTAAGTGGAGATGGACTTCGAGTGGCTACTGGTTCGTACAGGTACAGGTTATATATTTTATTGGTTCTTGGTGTCATCTTAAATTAACATCCAAATATGCTAGGACCTGGATGATATATAACCTAGTGATTTCTATTATTCCAGCAATCTGTTTCAAGTGTTTGGTTGTTCTGAAGGTAGTAAGGAAGCAACCACACTGGAAGCTAGCAAAAGCCCGATGAGGTATGTTCGATAGTCTTGGCTACTTGGCAATTGTAAATATAATGATGTGACTTGCTGTTGAAGGGAATTGATTAACCTTTATTGGTTTGGAAAGTCCTGAATGAAAAGAATATCTCATTGATTGTTAGAAATTCCTTTTTTAATTATGTAATGAATTTACAGGAGACAAGGCTTGACATCTAGGCCTTTAAGATCCCTTGGTAGTCCATCAGGTGTTATTAGACGAGGTATGTGTTTCACATGGTCCTTATCGAGTCCAAAAAGTTGAGATGTCATTGTCTATATTCCATCAGTTTAATTTATACCCTTTTGTCTGCATAATAAACCATTTTTATTATCGTTCTGTTATTTCGCTTGATTATTAGTGCACAAGGATTGTAGCCTTTTTTTTGCAAACAATTGTTGTTTACTTCTGTATATATGCTCGAGGTTTGTTTTACATCTTTTTTATCTATGCATCCCATCTCTTTTTTCAGGGAAAGGAGCAGATAATGCAGCACTCGACTCAAATGGAAATACTTTTGATTTCGCTACAAAGCTGCTACATCTAGCATGGCATCCAACTGAAAACTCTCTCGCTTGCGCCACATCAAACAGTCTATACATGTATTATGCATGATAATGATCAACGAAGCTCGAGATGGTTTTCTTTTCAGGGCAGAGCTCATCACTTGGCCTTCTTCCCAAATTGATGATGCCGAAGCTGCAGCAGTTTATCCTATCTCGGTGATTTATTGAAAATTTCTAGGCTTAAGTATAAAAAAATACCCTTCGACTAAAATTAAATAATTGTCCAAGCCCTATCATTTTATTACAATCAATCAAACATCTATTTTCACTTAATAATAGATGTATGAACATTTAATCATTGCAATAAGAAGGCGTGGGCTTGAATAATCATTTGGTTTTAGTTTAGGGGCCCCTTTTTTATATTTAGGCTAATTTATTACCATCTCTAATGTCGTTCAAGTTCCAACACCGGAGTTTAACCTTGCCGTTGTTGGTTTATGGACGAGGTCAATCGATCATTTCATGCCCGTTTATGTAATATTCGATATAGGGAGAGACATGGTGCTATTCGCAACTCCGGTTTTGTTTAGGTGGAAGAAAATAAGACGATTTAGCACTAAAACTACACTTAAACAAAGGTTCTTTAATTAGGTTGGCAATGACGATGATACTGGATTTGGGACAAATGGGCATGTTAACCCCTAATCCCCGAGGGGGGGGGGGTTGGATTTGAAAGTGAGCAATGCAGGTTCATCAGATCTCTTTGATATAATCTCTGAGCCCTTTGTGCTTAAATCTTGTACCATTTTAACTTTAATTCCTGTTATAACTGTTTTTATTTAATTTCTAACTATTTTTTATTTCTCTTCCTCCATAGCCATAGAATTTATAAATGCTAATAAATATTACCTTTAGATTACAGTTAATAAAGTGGAGTGAGAAGATTTAGATCACGTTGTCAATTATTTTTGAAGTGGTGTCAATTTTCTTTTAAAATATGATCAGTTTTATTTTTAATATTTTTATCTAAATTTTATAAAATACTTTTAAACTGGCGAGAACAAATAAACTAGTTCTCTAGTGAAATGCGACGTACATGGAGAAAAATGCTATGCTTATTTTGGATACATGTGTCCACTTGAGTTCCAGAAATCGGGAACAAGTGATACAAACATGAGGAATTAAGGAAATGCAGAATCAGAACAATAAAAACGAAAATGAGGAGTAATTCCACGTGCAGCATTCAGGATGTACAACTGTTGGAATCAAGCAATTGACTTAATGTTATTGTGTTAAACTGCATCAGTAAGGGTGGATTCCGAGTTGACAGCTCCTAAGAAACTTGTTGCATACGTGGCCGAGCTGGATTGGCATGTAAGCATAGAGATGCTAGTTTTACAATGGAGACACAACTTCCGTTGCTGTTCGGTTCCTCGGAGATGGAAGTCGCTCGTCTAACAGATCTTTCAGTAGTAAATGACATAAGTTTGCTTCTGATGATGAGCATGATGCTGATTACATGAAAGATATCAGATCCCCAGGATGCCTTCCCACATGGGTTTCCAATGTCACCACTCAAAAGCTAAATACATCGCATTTTTCATCTACTTACATGGTGTAAGCAAGCTCTAAAAAAGAATATGCAATCTTAAGTGCATGATTACGACTTCAGCCTGTGTAACACGCCTGGAGCCGCGTAACTGAAACTGCCTTCGAATGAGGTCCAATTGGATGAGTCAGGCTTTAGAAGCCTGGCAGCGCCAAAGTCTGCAACATGAGCCTCATACTCTAATTCTAACAGAATGTTCTTGCTCGAAATGTCACGATGGAGTATGGGAGGGGAGCAGTCATGACAGAGCATTAGCCACATCTTTAACAACATTTACCCTCTTACTCCAATCAAACTTCGCTTCTTGTTCATCGGTCTTTAGTATCTTCTCCAGGTTTCCCCCTTCCAATAACTCATATACCAAAAGCGAGTGTCGGAGATGGGAACAGAAACCTTGAAGTTTCAGAATATTGCGATGGCGTATTTCAGTCAAGGCCTGAATCTCACTGTAAAGAGCTTTCTGATTCTCCAACCCACCTTCTGGAAGCAGCAACCATTTGACCATTAGACAATTGTGCCTTGTAAACGCTTCCATGTCCCCCAACTCCAATGCAGTATTTGGAGTCAAATTCTTCAGTTGCTTCAACAATGTTTTCGTATATCATCTCCCATCATAGTTGCAAATTGCAAACAGGTCATCACTTACTTTTATCCTTGGCATGCTCTCGGTATTCCTTTCTTTTGGTCGTGAAAACAAAAGAATCCTGGCGACAACAAGTATAAGTAGTAGTGTGAGTAAAATAGGGACTAGAGTTGCAATCACAATTTTGCTGTTCTTTTTCTGATCAGGATCATGGTTTAAATTTGTGGAACATGGTTCCAAACCTGTGACATTTCCACACAAGCCTTTGTTGTTTCTGAAAGCCTCAAATGAAGCCTCTTGAAAGGCCTCGTTGTGTGGAAGAGGACCCTGCAATTGATTTTCGGATATATCCACTGATGTTAGGCTCACAATATCATCCAAAGTCGAGGGAATAACACTGGAGAGCTTATTCCGAGAAAGGTTCAGCTTTTGTAGAGATTTCAAGTTCCCAACTTGGTCTGGTTTTTTACCGATCAGCAAATTCTGACTGAGATCAAGAACCTGAAGAAAAGACAAATTGCCAACCTCAGAAGGCATGGCTCCACTCAATCTATTGACACTCAAATTTAGTTCCAAGAGTGTCTTGCACTTCCACAACCATCGTGGAATGGAACCATTGAAGCTGTTTACAGCCAAGTTAAGAAGAGAAAGATCGGACAACAATCCGATTTCTGGGGGAATACTGCCTGAAAGATAATTATCATTCAGCTTAAGGTGGAACAAGAATTTCAGCTCCTCCAGTTCCTTTGAAATGCCCCCGGTTAGATGATTTAAAGAAAGGCCACATACTTGTAGCTGAGTCACTTTTCCAAGTTCCGAGGTATAGCACCGGAGATATTATTGTTCGAGAGCTTTAGGCTTGTTAGATTATGGCACTGACCCCATTTTGGTGATAGCTCACCAATCAATTTATTATGACTGAGATCAAGATAGTCCAAGTTCGTGTATATGCCTAAATCTTCCGATACATTCCCTGTAAGTTGATTGTGTTCAAGGCGAACTCTACGTAACGTTGTACAGTTCTTCAAGGGGACTGGACCTTTCAAATAGTTGTTAAGTGCAACAAAAATTTCTAGTGCTCCGCCAGGGCACACCTGCTGTGGTAAATGGCCGATCAAGTAGTTTTCTGTAACACCACAACCCGTATCCGATCCGGATAAGAGTCCGAGATGTCACATTGACATTTCAAAACAATATTTTTACAAAGTAACAAAACATTTGAACTTGTATTAATAAAATACAATAAACTACTATTAAATTATGTTTTATTATAAAAAGTTAAGGTAAAAACGTATTTATGAACAATACTATACGGTATGAACAGTACCATGAACAATACTCATACACTGTACGATTCATCTGTTTCAGATTCAAGAATTCTTGCTTCATTTGACTAATAAACTGGTCTCCTATATACTTGTTCTTAAACTCTTCTAAAAATAAGGACCAGGTCACTTGATCACTTGTCATTCTCAGAATGACATTCGTCCACCAGATTCTAGCTTGCCCACGAAGCAAGGAGACCACTCCATCTAATTTCTCCACATCAGAACAGTGGAGTCCATCTAACATAATCTTTACATCATTAAGCCAAAGGTCTGCAGCAACATAACCTTCTTCGACTTCACCTTTAAACTCTGGAGTTCCTAAACCCTTCAACTCTTTTGCAACATTCATTATCGGAGTTGAAATAGCAGGAGGTTGGAAACGTGTCAGGACAGTGTATAGCGTCCTGAAGAAAATATCTTGATCATGTGCAGACACTCCAGAAGGTGTCTGTTCTTCACCTTGCCTGGCCATGGCATGTGAATTACTGCTTTCAACGGGTCGATCATCTCCCACTTCACTTCGAGAGCTATTATGTCCAGACATCTAATAAAATACAACCATATAACTCTATTAGCAAAACAACATACTTGTTACTCTTATCAGATCAGAAGTTTTCACATTTATGTTGGCATGTACACCTATAAAGACACTCTAGACTTCGTTTTTAGCCTAGAATCGGCTAAAACGTAGCTCTGATACTATTAAATGTAACACCCCAACCCATATCCGACCCAGATAAGAGTCTGAGATGTCACATTGATATTTCAAAACAATATTTTTACAAAGTAACAAAACATTTGAACTTATATTAAGAAAATACAATAAAATACTATTAAATTATGCTTTATTATAAAAAGTTAAGGTAAAAATGTATTTATGAATAGTACTATACGGTATGAACAACACCGTGAACAGTGAAATATTTCAAATATAAATTGTGTATCGATGAACTGCTACAGTAACTTTCGTAAAACGTACATAAAACTCGTAAAAATTTAACCGTTCATTACTATACATTTACCATTTACATTTATACCTTTAAACCATTACAAACATCGATCAGAGCATACATACTAAACAACTCTATTTACATGCCAACATATATATCACATAAACATACATATTGTGTAAGGTCCTTCTGATATGATCTTTGAGCAAAGCTATGTTGTTACTTTGAACTTAACTTTGATCCTCTTACTTCTCAGTACCTACGTGTAAATCACTTACATGCTAAGTCATAGACTTAGTGAGGCATAAACATAATAATAATGCATTTCTCATAAATATAAATATGCAATCTATGAATTCAATCATTTCACATATGATTTCCGTATACATGATAACAACATAATAACATATGATAATGCAAACACTTTTGTAAGCCAATTAATATGCTTATCAATACTTATATTACTATCACTATATTCCTTTTTATCATATAAATATATATTTAACATTTCTATACATACCTTGAAACACATATACCATTTCACAACAGAGCATACATAGTATCATATCAATTGATTTATTTACTCTCTTTAAAGATCATGTATACTTTTAAGAACTTAAGGTATGTGAGTATATTGAGGTTGTGCACCATTATGCTGTCACCACAGCTAGTATGAATGTCCCGAAGGACCAGTCCACAGATTCTGAAGAACCTAGGTAAACAACCCATATGTCTCGAAGAACATAGGTAAACAGTCCATATGTCCCGAAAACTATATGTCCCGAAGAACATAGATAAACCCTCGACCCTTGGCATGCCAACTATACCCCTAGCTCTCATATCACATAACATGAACATTATCATTTATAAAAGTTCACATATTCACATCACTTATTCATATCATTTCTCTTATAAACACATATCTCTTATTTTTTGTCACGTATCACATGTACGTGTAATCATTGATCTTATAATCACATATTTCTTTTCTTCTGTCACATACCATATGTATGTGCGTAAACATTTATTTCATATCATATAACATGTATCACATGTGCATATAATCACATAGCATATAAACTTATACATATATTCATGTATATACTTACATATATTTCATGATCAACGCTAGATGACTTATGCTATATTTTCCTTTATTCATGTAATTCAGTATCACATATCACATATACTCATGTCTATGTGCTCATGTATTAATGCACACATAAGCATTTTATCAATCAAAATTCAAATAGCATTTAAGGAGTCACTTCTTACCATAGTAACTCCGTCACTGGCTCATCGCAAGCCAATGTTTATTCAATAATATAAGTACAAATTAAATTGCACTCACCTTAGCCTTGCTTGCTTTGATTTAATCCTAATTCTTCGATTGTTCCAGAATTTGTTTAGGCTCAATATCTACATAAACATAATTTCTGAGACAAAAGCCTAAACCTTATAACTTGATATTAATAACTTAAACTAGTTTAATGAACTAAAATTCCATTTTTCCTTTAGGGGGTATCGATACCCCTTCCATAGGGTATCTGTACCTCCTGCATAATCTGTAAAAACCCAGAATTTACTGTTTAAACCTGAAAATTCACCAATACTCATCCAAATCTTCCATTTTAAGTCCCTATCATGCCATTAAACTTAAATACCTTTACCAACATCAACTTATATCCATATAAACTATCTTTATATTCCATATATCATCATGATTCTTAAAATTAAGAATCTTACTAACTTTCAACTTTGTTATAAATCATTTTTAACTTCATAAATCTCTTAATTAAGTTGATGACAAGTCAAATTTGACTTCCACTTCTAATTATGAACTCTATTCCAAGATTTAATTCAAGAACTCAAAATCTTTAATCTTTCTTATACCTTTCATCTTGTTGTTTAAGAACAAATTAAGCTTTTCTTAAGCTTAATTATCATCTAATGATCATAACCCAACCTTAAAATTAACAAACGATCAATAAATTAGAAAACTCACATTTGCTTGTATGCTCCACAGTGGAGAAGAGAAGAAAATGTAGAAGATGAGAGAATTGTGTGGAATAACAATAGATTCCACGTGGGTTTTCCTTATCTTATAAGGGAAATAAAAATCTTTCATGTCAAATGACCATTTTGCCCTTTAATTCTTTTAATAATTACTAACAACTTTCAGGAAATATCCTCACATAAATCATTGAACTATTCAAATATTATATTTTTATTACCAAATTATGAAATTTTACAATTTAGTCACTAAACCAGTATTGAGGATGTCACATTTTCAGCAAAGTCAAATTCTTTCAAACTTGTAAGATTGTTCATCTGTTGGAATGAAACCTCTAAGGCTGTTGGTGATCAGCTTTAGGTGAACAAGGGAACCCAAACATTCCAATTTCTTTCGGTATAGACCCTAAAATTTTATTACCAGAAGGCCAAGATGATGCAAATCGGTTAAGTTTCCAATAGAGGAAGGGAGAGAACCAACCAGAATATTTTCAGAGAGGTCAAGTCCTTTCAGAGACTTCCACATTCCGATTTGTTGAGGTATAGAACCAGAAAGCTTGTTTTCGAATAAGTAGAGAAAGACCAAGTTTGTCAAGTTTCCTATGGAACCAGGAATTTTACCAATAAGACTATTGTTGGACAGTGTAAGCTCTTCAAGAGAACCCATCATTCCTATTTCTTTTGGCATGGAACCTGAAATTTTATTGTTAAAAAGGATAAGATGAGATAAGTTACTTAAGTTTCCTGTAGATGGAGGGAGAGAACCAACCAGATTATTTTCATAGAGTTCAACTTCATTCAGGGACTTCAACATTCCAATTTGTTGACGTATAGTACCAGAGAGTTTGTCTAAGTATAGAAAGAGCAGATTTGTCAAGTTTCCTATAGTTGCATGAATTTCACCAGAAAGATAATATGAAGGCAAGGTGAGGTATGCTAATCTAGATAGAGTACCAACATCGGATGGAATGGTCCCATTGAAATAATTATAGCTTAGAACAAGAACAGTAAGTTTGGGGAAAGAAGAGAAGCTAAAGCCATGGAGTGTACCTCTCAAATCGAAACTCGAAAGATTTAAATGGCTCACACTTGTGGACTCCTCACAAATGATCCCGGTCCAGTTAGAGGGGCCATTTCCATCCCAAGAAGGGAGGAAAGATTGACTTTGAGTATCAAGACTGGCCTTCCATTTCAGAAAAGCACTGGCTTCCTTCTGTCTTGCTGATGATGAAGAGCCAAAGACAAGGGAAGGAGAAACCAGCAGCAGGGTGAAGAAGGAGGAGAAGACCCTGAATGGTGAAGATGTTAACTTGTTGATAAACGATACCATAGCTTAAAATTGCAAGGGAAACTAGTTGCTGGGACTATGAATATGAATGGAGAATATGTTTTACATTTATAGCTAAAAGCATTTCAACCATGCAGAGTATCAGGGCGCATGGTGATTATTGGGGTTGAAATTTATGCTTCATATCCTACTTTTTCCATTACAAGTATTTTATAATCCCTTAAATCACCACACCAGTCGTGTTTTTCGTGAACAAGGGTGTTCACCAACGTTAGATCTTTGTATCTGGACCTTCATACAACTGTTTATAGTCAGAATTGAACCCTTGAACCCAATCACTTGGAATATTCAACCTTTTGCTACTTGTTTCATCACACTGTGCAACCATTAGTGCTATTCTAGCCGAATGGTAAGCGATTGAAAATAGGTTTGTTTAGAACATCAAAAGCAACCTGCAATTGAGGCTGTTGTCAAGTATTCTTAATAGTGTCTTTAACAGTATCATGCTATCGGTGAAGGCAGCCTACAATTCCATATGATATGCTCGGCTTTCGTCTGCTCATTCCAAACTTTTTTGTTGTTTTAGCCTGCAGATTATCCATTCATTTAGAGGGGATAGTAACATATTGCTCTGTTAATATATTGACAGCAAATTATCTTTGAATACAGTCTCTTCCCATTGAGCAGCCTTAATATCTTTAGTAGGACGAATACAGTCATCATCTTGCCACACTATTTCATTCTCACTATTATAATTGTCATCATCGCCATCATTTTCCTTTTTGACATTCTTGATAGTGATCTTATCAAATAAAAAACAAACACTTCAGAAAAATCTTGTATAAAATCCTATAACGGGGGAGTGATTATCATCTTTCATGCTTTCATTTAATCATATTTCAGGAATGAGCAACACCTAACAAACTAAATAGTTCGTTTTCTAATGCTACACAGTCTCGACTCAGTGACGAATTTTGCAAATATAGTGACTTGCAACAAAAGCAACGACCAAACCTGCAATGCCTGATAAATATTTTGAACCATTCTACTTGGTGCATCTCCGGCTAGAGCACGTAATGTTCCTGCATTTGGACCCTTGCACCAATTGAACCAATAGAGTGGTCGGGATCATCACACAACCCGACCTCCATGTGATTCACTTTCTTGAAACACTTTGATCTTATTCGTCAGATCAATTTACATGCAGCCATAGAAATTGGGTATGTTTCAGCTGGATATGCCAATAATGAAGCCAAGCCTAGGGCCATAAATATCACCATTCAAAATATTGAATCCCTTTTAAGTTCATTAGGTGGTTTCAATAAGGTTTTGATACCCTCATAAAGAAGCAGAGCATAAATTGGAGGAACTAATCCATTCACGATTAAAGGTATAGACCCGAATAGAAGCACTGGGATCCAGGGACAGATGAATGCAAGATTTTATGTTAGGGAACGAACTTATAAAATTCTAGGAGAAAAAAACAGATTATCAATAAAAAAACAAACAAATAAAATATCTAAAATATATATGATAATTTGAAACTTTCAGGCTTGTTGAGTGGGATCTCTGGCTTGTTGAGAGATGCAAACCGGTGCGCTCAAAATAGAGCATGGGATAATATTTTTTTTTCTTTTTTATGGAACCGATTCAATCTGGGAAGCCTATATCTTTCTTATTTTTGGTTGATGCATTCAAGGACGAAAACAACTAAGACTTTCCCTTTAAACTTTGGAATCTGTTCTCTGCTCGGCAGTTACATATAAACAGCATGGAATTATACAAACTAACAGTAAAACAAGGCATAAAACACGAGAGATCAAGGAAATGTACAAATCAGAACAGGAAAAACGAAAAAAGGGAGTAATTCCATGTGCAGTCTTCAAGATGTATAACTGCTCAAATCAAGCAATTGGCTTAATGTTATTGCGTGAAACGGCTCCAATAAGGGTGGATTCCGAGTTGAAAGCTCTTGAGAAACTTGTTGCATACTTGGTCGAGATTGTGGACTGGAACGTAAGCATTGAGATGCTAGTTTTACAATGGAGACAACTTCTGATGCTGCTTGTCTACTTGGAGATGGAAGACGCTCGTCTAACAGATCTTTCAGTAGTAAATGACTAAAGGTTGCTTCCGATGATGTGCATGATGGTGGGAGTGAAGAAAATGATGATGACAGCAAAGATATCATATCCCCAGAATGTCTTCCCATAAGCGTTTCTAATGTCACCACTCCAAAGCTAAAGACATCACATTTTTCGATGATTTTCATTGTATAAGCATGCTCTACAAAACAACAAGCAATCTAAAGTGCATGATTATGACTTCAGCTTGTGTTTAACAATTTACTTTATATAAATTCAGAACAATTATAGCATAAAAATGAAAAGGATAGAATAAAAAAACCATACCTGGAGCCGTGTAACCCAAAGTGCCTTCGAATGAGGTCCAATTGGATGAGTCAGGCTTTAGAATCCTGGCAGCGCCAAAGTCTGCAACATGAGCCTTATAGTCTGAATCTAGCAGAATGTTCTTGCTCGAAACGTCACGATGGACTATAGGAGGGGAGCAGTCATGGTGCATATAGGACACAGCATTAGCCACACCTTTAACGGCGTTTACCCTCTTAATCCAATTGAACTTCGCTGCTTGTTCATCGGTCTTTAGTATCTTCTCCAGGCTTCCCCCTTCCAAGAACTCGTATACCAGAAGCGAGTGTCGGGGATGTGAACAGAAACCATGAAGTTTCAGAATATTGCGATGGCGTATTTCAGTCAAGGCCTGAATCTCACTGTAAAAAGCTTTTTGATCCGCCACCCCACCTTTTGGAAGTGGATGAAGTTTCTTCACAGAAACCATTTGACCACTAGACAATCGTGCCTTGTAAACACTTCCATATCCCCCGATTCCAATGCAGTATTTGGAGTCGAATTTTTCAGTTGCTTCAACAATGTCCTCGTACACCATTTTCCCATCAAAGTTGCAAATTGCAAATAGATTATCACTTGCTATTATTCGTGGCGTGTTCTCAGTGTTCCTTTCTCTTCGTTGTGAAAAAGAAAGAATCCCAAAGACGATAAATGCAACTAGCAGTGCGCATGAAATAGGGACTAGAGTTGCAATCACAATTTTGCTGTTCTTTTTCTGCTCAACTTTATGGTTTAAATACGAGGAACATGGTTCCATACCTGTGATATATCCGCACAAGCCTTTGTTGTTCCTGAAAGACTCAAATGAAGCCTCTCGAAAGGCCTTGTTGTGTGGAAGAGGACCCTCTAACTGATTGTAAGACACATCAACAGATGTTAAGCTTAACATATCATCCAAAGTAGAGGGAATAAAACTGAGGAGCATATTGTGAGAGAGATTAAGCTTTTCTAAAGATTTCAAGTTCCCGACTTGCTCCGGTAATTTACCAATCAGAAAATTGTGACTTAGATCGAGAACTTGAAGGAAAGACAAGCTGCCAACCTCAGAAGGAATTTCTCCACTCAATCTATTGGCACTCAAATTTAGTTCCTAGAGTATCTTGCACTTCCACAACCATCGTGGGATGGAGCCATTTAAGTTGTTTGCAGCCAAGTTAAGATGAGCAAGACCAGACAACACTCCGATTTCTGGAGGAATACTGCCTGAAAGATGATTATCATTCAGCTTAAGGTCGAACAAAAATTTCAGCTCCCCCAGTTCCTTTGGAATGCCTCCAGTTAGATGATTTAAAGAAAGGTCACATACTCGTAGCTGAGTTGCTTTCTAAGTTCCAAGGGTATTGCACCAGAGATATTATTGTTCGAGAGCCTTAGGCTTGTTAGATTACGGCACCGACCCCATTTTGGTGACAGCTCACCAATCAATTTATTATGACTCAGATCAAGATAGTCCAAGTTCGGGTATATGCCTAAATTTTCCGATACATTCACCGTAAGTTGATTGTATTCAAGTCGAAATCTACGTAACCTTGTACAGTTCTTCAAGGGGATTGGACCTGTGAAATAGTTGTTAAGTGCAGCAAAAATTTCAAGTGCTCCGCCAAGGCACACCTGCTGTGGTAAATGGCCGATCAAGTAGTTTTCAGCAAGGTCAAATTCTTTCAAACTTGTAATATTGTTCATCTCTGTTGGAATGAAACCACTAAGGCTGTTGGTGAACAGCTTTAGGTGAACAAGGGAACCTAACATTCCAATTTCTTTCGGTATTGACCCCACAATTTTGTTGTCAAAAACGCCAAGATAATCCAAATTGGTTAAGTTTCCAATAGAGGGAGGGAGAGAACCAACCAGAACATTTTCAGAGAGGTCAAGTCCTTTCAGGGACTTCAACATTCCAATTTGTTGAGGTATAGAACCAGAAAGCTTGTTTTTAAGTAGAGAAAGAGTAAGTTTGTCAAGTTACCTATAGAACCAGGAATTTTACCAATAAGACTATTGTTGGACAGTGTAAGCTCTTCAAGAGAACCCATCATTCCTATTTCTTTTGGTATGGAACCTGAAATTTTATTGTTAAAAAGTATAATATGAGATATATTAGTTAAGTTTCCTTTAGATGGAGGGAGAGAACCAACCAGATTATTTTCATAGAGTTCAACTTCATTCAGGGACTTAAACATTCCAATTTGTTGAGGTATAGTACCAGAGAGTTAGTTTGTGTCCAAGTATAGAAAGAGCAGATTTGTCAAGTTTCCTATAGTTGCAGGAATTTCACCAGAAAGATAATTGGAGACAAGGAGAGGTATACCTTTCAAGAACAGTTTGGGGAAAGAAGAGAAGCTAAAGCCTTGAAGTGTACCTTTCAGACCGGAACTTGAAAGGTTTAAATGGCTCACCCTTGTGGACTCGTCGCAAATGATCCCGGTCCAGTTACAGGGGCCATTTCCATACCAAGAAGAGAGGAAAGATTGACTTTGTGTATCGAGAGTGGCCTTCCATTTTAGAAGAGCATCGGCTTCCTTCTGTGCTGTTGATGATTCATCTCTGAAAGTTGCGGAAACAGAACCAAAGACATGGAAAGAAGAGAGCAGCAGCAGGGTAAAGAAGACCCTGAATGATGAAGATGTTAAGTTGTTGATGAAAGATACCATAGCTTAAAATTGTAAGGGCAAGTATCGGTTACACTCAAGTTTAGAGGGAAACTAGTTGCTGGGATCATGAATATATGATTATGAATAAAGAATGAGTATTACAATTATTTTCTACCTTTTTAATTCAACCACTAACCCACTTTTTCCATTCAATTATTTTCTCATCTCATGGGACAGTGGAAGTGAATCACCAACGTATGATCAAAAAAAGGAAGCCAATCACCAACCCACTCGTTACTTCTGGATTCGCCCGAAGAATTGGAATCTACCATGCCATGCTTTTTGTGGACAAGCGTGTTGACTAACCTTTGACAATTTTTTTCCGAGAGATGTATTCTTTTTGTACTTTACGTTACAAATATAAGTTGTGTATGATTTTTTCTACGTTGATATTGCTTTTGATTATTTTTTCACGCTTTATAACAATAGAACAGGAAACCATCAAATGAAATATTGTGTAGAGTAGCTTCACACCTATTAAAGATGATGAGGAACCTTTCGGATAAAATCGAACAGCATCTCTGCATGTAAAAATCAGTTCGTCGAGTCGAGACAAATGAGTTAAGAAAAGGTTATTTAAAGGAATGCAGTAATATAGAAATAATGAAATGATCTTTCCCATTGCATGAAACCAAACATATTACATAGAAAATGAAAAATTACTGTCACTGCAAAATGAATGTTCTAAAGCAATCTGGAAACGGCAAAGCTTGTCTGAATGGAAGAGCTTTGATGAGCATTCTAAAAAGTCACATTCAACCTTTCTCCCTTGCTTTGAATATTTATGTTTCGTAGCATACTTGGACATTAAGCTGCTTTACTAAAATGCTATTGGAGGTGCTTGATTTTAATAAATTTTACGTCTTTCATTGTTCTGTTCTGGAATGTCTGGAATAGGAGGAACACTTTGGTGCACGAGAACATATTTCAACCGGCTTTCTTGATTGTGGATACTGTCCGGTTATTTCATAAGGATCTCACATCCATGGTCTGTCATCCCAGGTCTGCCTCAGTTAGAAATACTGTGATGGATGAAGCCGCCTGCAGGAGTTATTAAAATCAACATCGATGGAGCTTTTTTGGTGGCTATGTGACATGGGACGGTTGGGGTTGTAGCTCATGATCGCAATGGGCAAGTGGTGGCTTGCTTTGCAGGATGCAAGCTTTGTAGAAGCTGCGGCTTTCACGGGACTCAAGCTGGTGGTAGAAAAAGGCTGGAGCGATGTATTGTTGGAGGGGATGCTTCGAACATTGGTGACCCCTTCTAAAGTTGATCTCTCTATTGTGGGCTTCCACCTCGTGACGCGGTGGCCATTTTAGCATGCAACAAACATATAAAAGTTTGATTTCTAAGAAGAGAAACCAGCTCATACATTGGCACAATGAACCTTAAATTTAGACTCGTTAATGGTTTGAGAATTTGAATGCCCCGATTGTATTTTGAACACTGCTCCACTTGAGCCCATTGTTGATTAATAATATATTATTCCTATCTTATAAAAAATAAGCTGCTTTACTTAATAGATGTGGAGAACTAGCTGCTTACTCTACAAACAAATGCAGAATATCAATTAAAGCACGGCTCACTGAATATTTATAACAAATTATCAAGCCTAAGACATGCTCTTTATAGACATGGGATCCTTGCAATAATTAGAAATCTTGATGACAAATTAACTAGAAACCTTCAGTATAACCTAAATAACATGTTCCTACCGATTTTGTCATTGACGATCCTACAATAACCACCATTTACTACATAAAGTCAGTCACATGGACAACAAAATTCCCATACAGAAGTTAAAGACAACTGCATTTTATCTCTTGATGACAACTGTTGGGATCCTCTCTTGTTTGTCTCCGGTGCAATCTAAGCAAGGAGGCTTAGCAGCTCCATAATAATAGAATGCCATCATTTTCGATAACTCATCCGCAGTTCGAACAGCTGAACAAACAACAGATTACAGGTTCATATAGTCAAGAAAATGGAGGCAAGAAGCTTACTTTTAAGCAAGTACCTCGTTCGCGGTATAAAATTTTCCCAGCTTTAGTGAATATTATTTCTGGAAAGCCCGAGACATTCAGAGCAGAGACCAAATCATCCTCTACTACAGCATCAACTGCTACACACTGATAAAGAGGAAAGATAAATTAGGACCAACGATAGAAAGAAATGCAACCACATCAGAAACAATGGTATAGATATCAGACTCTTGGTGAAGGTAGCCTGCAATTCCATATGATGTGCACAGCCTTCGTCAGCTCATCCCAAACTATTTCATTTTCTTTTGGCCTGCAAATTATCCATATCTTTAAAGGAGATGATAACATGTTTTATTGACTGGCGAAAAGGAAAACTAACCTTTTGTAGCGGTTATGGACTAGAATGATTAAAGGACTAATGTCCTTGAATACAGTCTCTTCCCATTGATTAGTCTTAATATCTTTAATTGGACGAATATAGTCATCATCTTGCCACACTATTTCCTTCTCGCTGTCATAATCATCAGCGTCATCGTTTTCCTTATTGTTATTCTTGATAGTGATCTTATCAAAGAATTGATCCAGGTTGAAACCCCGGCCATCGGCATCTTCAGGCCAATCCGGATCATCCTCATCTACAACCAACGGATAATCAGCCAGGAGCTTTTGCATCTTGTTCAACTTATCAACAGGATCAATCTCCCCCTCGATTTCGGGATGTTTGTTGATAACTTCCCTAATTTTGGCTCTCCATTCGCGTCGCTCATCAGCATCAAAATGATAGGAATCATCAATCTGACCATTTTTCAGGGATGACTCGTCGTCATCATCATCATCATCACTGTCACTTATTTCTTGTCCCATAAATTTTTTTCCAAATTTTTCCACCATCCCATATGCTCTTACCCCGTTTCTTATGGAACTTGGATTCTGCATTAGCTATCAATTAGTAATTTGAAAGGTGAATTTGCACTTCTATTCAGAAAAAAGAAAGAAAGAAAGTTCGAAGTTCGAACACACATACCCAGGAAGGCATCTTAAGTAATTTTGAACAAAGGGGCTTCAACTTATTCAGTTTTACAGGACAAATCCAATACCGAAGATGGATTGAGTGTTGCAACGCCATTCCTATCTATTTCTGTGCAATCTTTACCAAAGTTATTACTGCAAAAAATAAACACTTCAGAAAGTTATTGTATATGGAAGCAACCGAAACTTGAAATTAATACGACTAATTTAATTCACCAGTTTCATCACCCAACTCCAATCCTTTTTCCTCTGCTTTGAATGTACTAAAACCCTGAGCTAAACCACGAAAGTAGTGTGGGGTTGTAATGCGTAGATAACTAGATAAGGTCAGCCATTGGTGTGTCTTCTTTACAGTTAACAAAAAGCCCAATTCATATTTGATAAAGAGAAGGCTTAGGGCCTTAGGCTGAGCGTAATCCTATAATAGTATTTTTATATGGGATAATATCACATTTGATACTTGTGTTTCGATAAATATTCAATATGATACTTAGAGTGTCTAAGGTCGTAACTTTATTCTGGATAAAATATTCAATGCGATACTCTAATTATCATTTTTTGTATTATATAATGCATGTGAATTTGTATGGATTAATTTAATATCTTTTAACATTATTAGCAAAAATATCATAATAATGTTCGAAATGGTAGTTCTTATATCTGATTATTTTTTTCCTATGATTAGTTTAAACATAAAATTTGATGGAATATTAAATAGAGTAAAGTACATAGATGATTCTCAATTATAAGATATTATTTTATTGAGTCTCTTGATTATTAAAAGTTATAAAATGATCATTTGACTATAGGGTGCTACTTTGTTGAGTCCCTTAACTATTAAAAGTTACGAAATGGTCACCCGAATATTCATATGATCAAAACTCATCATTTTTCATTGAAAAATTGATGTTTGTCTGAGTTGGACGATAACATGCTGATTGAGATATGATATTTCTTTGAGATTCTAGGGTTATATTTTATTATATATCAGTTAGTATTTTAACATTTAGCTCAAACTGTTGTCATTTTAACGGAAAATGATAAGTTTAGAATATAAGAATAATTATGAGATCATTTTATAACTTTAAATAGTCTTAAGACTCAACAAAATAACAATATATAATCAATAGATCATTTGTGTACTTTAATCTTTAAAATATTCATATCTTAGTTCAATGATAAAGTATAAGAGGATCTAGGTTTGAGTCCTCCTCCTCCAATGACTTTTATTTTATTTTTTTATAAAATAATAATAATAATAGTTTGGTGATTAACTGTGTAGTTAATTTTTTCTATTTCCTTAAAAAGTCGCTCACAGCCCGACATATATAATAAAATCTTACTACACAGATATTCCCCCTTTTCTTCCTCTAGGGTTTCTCTCTCGAAAACAGAAAATGGCGGACGAAGCACAGTACACTTCAGGTCTCGATGTCAGCAGCAACAAGCGTAAATACGATGACGAAGCACCGCTGCCTTCCGGAGTTAGGAGGCCTACTGGTTTCTCCTCCCCAGATTCGGCCCCTCCTTCCTACAACAGCGTTCCGCCACCGCTCGACGGCATCGAGATGGCCAAGCAGCGAGCTCAGGAGATTGCTGCTCGCCTCACTGCCTCCGTCGCTTGTGCTGCCGCTGAGACGAAGCGCCCTCGTATTGAAAATGGCTCTGGCGGTGGCTTTGATTACGAGAAGGGATTTAGTTCTGCTCCCTCTGGTATATTTTTTTGTTTTAATAATGAAAACTTCATTCTTTAAGGAGATTGTTGCATCTAGGATTTTTGTATTTAGAGTTTCGAGCTTTAATAGTATTAAATATCTTTTGACTGCTTCTGTTTGTAAAATTCTTATAATTTAGATATGATTTTTGGAAGTGAATGCATATCGTTATGAAAATAGAAAGTGTTGACATTATACAGATATTTAAAACCCCTTTTCAATCTTCAAGGAGATAGTTGCTTCTAGGATTTTGTGTTGAGCTTCAAGCTTTTAATAAAATAAAATAGATTTTGAATGCTGTTGTTTGTATGATGCTTATAATTTAGATATGGCTTTTGAAAGAGGATACATAGGGTAATGAAATTGAAAATTGATGTTATACAGATATAAAGCCTCTGTCGAACTCCGCCCCTTCAGCTATACCTGTTTCTTATGGTAGCTACCACGGTAGTAGCAAAAAGATTGACATTCCTCAAAATAGGGTTGGTGTTATAATTGGGAAAGCTGGAGAAACCATTAAATATCTTCAACTACAATCTGGGGCAAAGATTCAGGTCCAAAGAGATTTGGATGCAGACCCTAATTCCATGAATAGGCCTGTAGAGCTTGTGGGTACTGCTGAACAAATATCCAAGGCAGAGCAGTTGATAAATGATGTTCTAGTTGAGGTACTTAATGCTGCCTTTCTTAATTGTTTATGTCAAATTAATGTATTGCTGTTATGCAGAATATGAGAAGATATGATTTATACCCTTTAATGTGTTTGTCAAGGCTGAAGCAGGGGGTTCTGGCATGGTTTCTCGTCGAATGACAGGACAGGCTGGAAGTGAACATTTTGAAATGAAGATTCCATGTAACAAGGTATACCAGTGTAATTGTATTACTCAACTTCTTTGGCTTTGATTGAATATAACATTAATCCATGCATGATTTCAGGTTGGTCTGGTGATTGGTAAAGGTGGTGAAACAATTAAAAGTATGCAAGCTAGAACTGGAGCTCGCATTCAGGTTTGGATATTAGTGTCTTCTATATTTGAAGTTATTAGGAACTAGATACATCACTGTTTTGTATCAAATAGTTTTTAACAGGATTTTGTGCATTCTAATAAATTTGGTCACTATACATTGCACTTTTGAGTCTTGGCATAGTTGCACCTGTGAGTATGTTTTGTGACTGATGCACATCTTAATTTGTGCAGGTGATACCATTGCATTTGCCCCCAGGCGATACATCAACAGAAAGGACATTACACATAGATGGAACAAGTGAACAGATTAAACATGCAAGAGAATTGGTTGATGAGGTCACAAGTGAGGTATGTTTGGATATGGGTGTTGGCAGGAAAGCTTTTTGTCAGTGTAAATTAAGCCTGGCCCTTTTATATGAATCGCTTGTGCGTTTTTTGTACTGCTAAAATGTATGCCTACTGCAGTAGATTCCTTTAGTTCTATGCCAATCTATTGTCATTGTGCTTAATTTGACTTTGATTGTTGATTTAGTGTGATCTGTTGGCTAGTCTTTACAACATTAGTTATGATAGGATCTTTGAAATGTCACTTTTATTGAGTCTTTCAACATTAGGTTAAGAAGTTCCATTGTTTAGGATTTGTAGCGTTATTCCTTATATTTTTAATTGCGGGCAAAACCATTTTTCTTTTATGGGTAAAGTAGGGACTAAATTGCTACTCTATATTGTGTTACTTTTTCTTAGATATATATTATTGTATTACAACCTTTCAATCATTTTTCCTGTCAATATTCTGAAACTTCCCCCTTTGTTTATCAAAATCTTAGATTTTCTTATACATCTATATACCTGTTGAGGAAGAATATGACTTTGCACACGCCGGTTATACTATTTCTTCAAGTATAATGCTGAATAATTCCTCTTCTTCCCTTTTTTGAGACGTAGAATATTCAGTCTTTTTGAGATTTAGATTGGATTTTATATTATCATATATTCCTCTTCTTCCCTTTTTTCCACTTGTAAAATCTTGAGAGTTGCAGACATTTTTTGGTGGCAATCCTTGTTGCTATGACAGCTGGTTGAGAAATTGTTCTAGGTGTCAAATGACTAAATGGAAGATAAGCAGGTCCTCTATTTTGTAAGAATGACGGTTATTGTCCTTTAGTTTTCCTGAAGTTTTGATAAAAATATTGAAGTTTTATCACCATAAAGGAGGAAGTCCTTGTTCATGTTGTGATATCCTTAACATAGATTGAGTCTGACCACAATTCAATTATCTTGTCTAAATGCAGAATCATTATACACGTATATGATCTATATCATTGATATAGGTTTAGAGAATTGATGGGCTTTGGTTTAGATTTTCTCCTCGCTTTGGTTTAGAGAATTCTAGGATCTGTTATCAGTGATATCATTTAGTTAATGCATGTTTATTGATCTTTCTAGGTTGTTATTACTTATTTGATACTTCTATTTGTTACAATGCATCAGTTGGATTATTGGATAGATGACTTATAGTGAACTGTGAGTTTCTTGCCTGTATACGGCAATGGGTTCATAGTTTCTTCTGTTTTGGTGTAAAAGCTTCTATTAGTACTTGTTGGGTTCTTTTTCTTCTTTTTGCACCCATTCACTTCAAATAGGGAAATGATGGGCTTCTGCTGGAGTAAACTCAATAATCCTTCCGACCATACGGTATGTTGGCATTATACTCTTATAGCTTATGCTATAGTACAAATCGATTAAATCCAGTGGACATATTTTGCTTATTTTTGTTGTTTTATGCTGATATTAATACTTGCTATTCAGATATTTGCATATGACTATATGTGCCTGTTGTATATAGATGCATATTCTATTGTGCTGAAAGTGTTTATGTGCCATCGTCATTGGGAAGTCCACTTTGGTTAATTTGAGGAATCGATTTTGTGCAGAACCGTATGAGAAATCAAACAATGGCTGGAGGATATCCACAGCAAGGTGGCTATGAGGCACGACCACCCTCAAGCTGGGGCCAAGGGGCTCCTCCAATGCAGCAACCTGGTTATGGTTATATGCAGCCTGGGGCTTATCCTGGCCAATCACCACAATGCAACATGTCACAGCCTCCTTATGGGGGCTATCCTTCCCAACCATCATCTGGTGGATATGCCTCTGGTTGGGACCAGTCATCTGTACCACCAAACCAGCAAAGTTCTGGTGCAAGTGGCTATGATTACTATAACCAACAGCCATCTTCACAGCAGCAGCAAAACCCCGGTGATTCAGCAACTCCGGCCAATAACAGTGGCTACAATTACGGTCAACCTCCTGCTTCTAACTATATGCAACCAGGACAAGGATATTCTCAGGGTGGCTATGGTGGCTACCATGGGGCCCCACAATCAGGTTATGGGCAGCCATCATCATATGATCAACAAGGTTATGGTCATGCACCAAGCTATGCTAATGCAACGATCCTGTACAAGGGGATTCAGGCCAGGCGCCTACATCTACCCAACCATCTGCAGTGGGCCAACAAGGAGGTACTCAATCTGGTTACGGGATGCCCCCAACTTCCCAGACTAGCTATGGGAACCAACTACAAGCTCAGTCTGGTTATGGAACTGGATATGGCCCACCACAAGCACAGAAACCTTTAACCAATCCCCCCGTGTATGGGCAGGCTCAACAGTCGCCTAGCACTCCCGGAAGTTATGGCCAGCCAGGATATCACTCACAGCCACCCTCTTCTGGTTATGGTCAACCATCAAGCTATGGTGCCCCATATGCTCAGCCTGGATATGGAGCCCCATCCTATGGGGCAGCGGCAGCCAACCAGCCTGGTTATGGAGCACCTTATAACACCTCTTATGGTGGCAGTTACTCGCAGCCTTCAACATATCCTGCTGATGAGAATGCAAGCGGGGGCAGTCATGGTACTTACGAAGCAGCCCCAGCAACTAAAACTGGTGAACAAGGTGGAACTGCCAAGGCATCGCCCCAAAGTTGATTTGGGTTGGAGGTGAGTTTGTTGAATGCAACTTTATAATTTTAGATATGATACTTGATGTTAAATGGTTTATTATATTGCAGTTAAATCAAAGCTAGTTTTTGCAGTGGTTTTAGGACAATGTTAATGGATTGTTTTGTCTATGTTGCTTTACCGTACTTTTTGGTTTTGGTTTAAAATCAAAGGAATAAACATGCCTGTTATCAAGTAGTGGCTTAGAGAAGATGCATTTATTTATATCATAGATGAAGCCAAGCAGGAGCCAAATGGGCCAAAATCCAGCTCTCTAATCTTCTCCATCCTCTTCAATGTCATCTGTACCAGCCAGATCAAAATAAGAAGCAAGATAACTATTGTATGTAAATGTAAGGTTTATTTCTTTTATGCCAACAATTTGTTAAAATGGAATTAATAGAAATTGATTGTATTTGTTTTGTATAAGAGGGAGAGTAATCGTTTCCCCCCCCAACAAAAATCAGTATAATCGATCATAATTTATTAAAATTGATCTGATTGATTTGCTATCTAAATCGAAATAACTCAAGCAATTGAAGGTCGGTTGATTTGGTTGGTTACCTGAATTTTAAATATGCATATTGAACAATTTGAGTTTGTATTGGACAAATCTCACAATATTTTTTTATATTTAATGAGATCTAACCAACTCAACAAAAATATCATCAAAATATATACGGTAAATATTAATTTTGATATATTAAACTTGGTTTTAATATTTTTATTTAAAATGATCGATTTATTTTGATTTAAATTAAATTTACATTGATATGGTAATTTAAATTAATACTTAGAATGAACAAATTAATTTGATTAATAAAATTAAACCTATATACTAATTTAAATTAAAAACTAGATTCAGATATTAAATTTAAAAAATTAAATGTTGAATTAAACGATAAAATCAAATTAAGATCAAAATATATAATAAAATATCTTTTATTCAACGGTCACATATTTTTTTATTTGGTTTTGAAATGAAACCGTCACACATAAAATAGTCCAAAAAGAGGAACACACATTGAAATCAAGGACCATTTATGTAATTTACAACGCAACCATTGTTTCTAGGGCTTCCAATGGACCTCTATATAAACCCATGTTTCAGCACCTTAAGCTTAAATCCCACTTATCTGATCCGCAGCCTCATTTGTCGTCACTTCTTATAGATCCGTAAGCCTTTGTAGTTTTCCCTATCATTCAATGTATTGTTCGATGCAACTGCGTCCTATAGGTAAATACAAAATACTTCGTTTTCTTGTATAATCTTGTTATTTTTTTACTTCTCTTCTATCGGTTCTCGAAATTTATTTAAAAAAACGAAACGCATAATTTTCTGATTTGATTTACTTTGAATTTATACCACGTTTAGGCTGTTATTAGTTTGCAAATACATGATATGCGTATCGGCTCCAATATCAGAGTCAACAGCAGGCTCCGATCCATGGAGACCTGACTGCCGCTTGGAGCCAATATTTAACCAAACGGTAGAAGACCCGTGAAATTCAAAACAGTTGTTTCATGACACAATAATCCGTTTACAATTGTTGATTAATTGTCCTTGTTTATAAGATTTGATAGTCATTCTGAATGTTAAAAAAGGCATACAGTCAGACACGGGTGATTGTTGTTTCACATTAGCAATCCACCTTTTGCATTGTGCCTAAACTGAAGCTACTTACACGATTGGAGGGGTTCTTGCTTTCTTCACGGATTCCTTCAAATTTAAAGCAGCTAAATTTTATCTCAGTTAAAATATTAAGAAACCTTCAAAGTCCTGTCAATATGAATTATATCATATATTTAAATTAGCTATTCTTTATCGATAGCTAAAGTCTCTGCACATATAATTACACTATAATAACTTCAAGTATTTTTTTGTAACACATTTTTACTAATATTTAACAAAATATCACTTAAAGAGAAGTGTGATTTGCAAAATCTGTCTTACACTTAAACACACATGAAAAGTTCTTTCTGTAGAACGTGTCTATGCGTATGTGACAAAAGTTTTTTTTTTTTTTTTGTAAAGTGTCTTATGTTAATTTGACTGCACATGTATAAAACACATCTAAAAAATGTATTTAATAAATTAAATAAAAATTTAAAAATTATATGAGAGAAATATGAAAGAATTCCTTTTAGGTTTTATCTAACATTGTTAATAAATATAGTCTAAACGTTCTATAATGCTTATATAAACTAATTGTTATTAGGTTTTTTAACTTATGGATTTAACATGTATTAAATTACATTTTTAGTTTTTATAATTTTAATTTGTTGATTTTTTTTAAACTACATTTTTTAAATGTATTCTACATGTATATTGTCCAATCAGATGTTTTTGCCATGTATACGTAAAACGCGTTCTACAGAAAGTACTCCCAAGGTGCGTTTTGCAGAATGTTCTTCATCTCTTTGGGTGATATTTCAGTAAATATTGGCTAAAAGGTGTTATTTAAGAATTTAATAAATATCGATGTGCAGGACATCGAGTTGATTTGTAATGCGGATCGGATGCATCTTCTATGTATATGAATTCTGTTCCTGAGATATTAATGGCATATTCAAGTAATCACAGAATGAACTAATGTTCATAAATGTACTATATTAATGGTAAAATGTTGGGCTTTCGGCACTACCCTCACGATCGTGTGAAGCATAGAGCTGAACTCATCACCACGAAAGTGTAGCTCTTCTTTTGAGACTGGATTAATCGAAATTATCAAGTATGATAAATTTACAATAAAAGTGAATAAAGGAAATATCAACATAATTGTAGTTTTTTTTATCGAAAAAATAATAATCCTAATTGTGAGAGAGTTTATTTAAATTCAGGACACCTTCGTTGATGGTGCTCTTTTGACATCAACTTGTGAATGAAAATAACCTGAATATTGAATTTTACATATTTTATTTAATGTATAAAAATAAACATAGAGATTTGTTATATATATCTTAATTAATTTATTCATCGAAATTTATCAATTGGTAATAAGAGAGTGAAGATTTATTCTCTCATACTCAAAACTCATAGAGATGGATCTTGCAAATGGTATCATATTATGCATATATTAAAATTCTTCTTCTTAGAGTATATATCAACTTGCGGATGTCGAACAAACAAATAGCATATGAAATTGGATTGCACATGTGCTCATATGGTGAGATATCTAAATAATCCTTATGCCAAAAAAAGAATAGTTTTTAAACTCTCTTCCTCTTATCTATTTTTTTTAATAATTTCGTATCATTTTCTTTTCTTTTCTTTTTAATTTTTTGTTTAGCCAGCGTCGACACTAATCTTAATATTGATTTTTATTATATTTTTGTTTCTTTTACACAATGATATTTGTTTTCTTTTCTTTCTTTCTTCTTCTTTTTTTTTTTGAGTTTTTTGAATTCTAATTAACATTTTTTGTCATTGTGGCATGTTTTTCCTTTTTCTCGTGATATGTTTTTTCTTTATTTTTGTGACAAGTTCCTTATGGCTTTTTGTATGTTTTTTTACATGCATTTGTGGTCATGTTGATGTCCGCATAAAGATCATCACAACATTTGTTTTCTAATTGGTTTGTTGGTAATAAGATCTCTCTTTGGTAAAAAAAAATTGTTTGTCAATATAATCAAAATTGTGTAGCGAAGCAGTCTGTCAAATTATTTAATTCACTCACCATTCTTTATCACTTTGTAAAGTATCTTGTTTGAGACGATGAATTTTATGAATATTATTGTGTTATTTTGATGTTGAACGTTACTATCAATGAAAAGTTTTATTTTTCATTGTGCCTTTAGATTTAATATTTTTATTTTATGAATGAGGTTTTTACCTATTATTGTCACTAATTTTCTGTTAGGACGCGTTGTATTTTTATTACTTTCATTATTTTTATTCTGTTCATCGAATCCAATCATATTTACTAATCGATCAGCCTAGGAAGCTCATAAGTTGACCTAAAAAGTATGGTCGTTACGTAAATATTACAAATTATATTATTATTAAAATAATATATTATATTATAATTGAGTGTATTTAATAATATTAAAAATTAGAATATTAAAATATTAAATTTGTTAGAGACAATGATTAAGTTGATACTTTTTTTATTAACGCAATTTCTCAAGTTGAAGGATCAAATAAATAGAAAAAGAAAAAAATAACAGCTTGATTAATTTCATGAAATGGTTAGAAAGAATTTTTTTAACCCTTAAGTCATGATTTTTTAACGAACACTATGATTATATAGTATTATCAAATTCCATACACTTAATGGACTTTCATCGTTGGAATTGATTATCTTGATTGAGTTTTTAATTTTCTAACCTATGGATAAATATGTGAAATAGATATGCATATGTCATGTATTAATTTGTATATAATCATAAATATTGATAGTATGAATTAAACGACCTCAATAGTTAAATAAATGATTGTTATTTTTAGAAGTCTCAGGTTTGAGAATTTTTAAAATAAATATTGCCACTTGTAAACTCTCTAAATTAATAAAGAAAAATATAAATCTTGATAAAATAATTTGAAAATTGTGAATAGATTTAGGAACAAATTGATATTTACTTAAACCTTTTAAAAAGTTTTTTAAATTATTTTTTGAAAATTAATTATTCTTTTTGAAAATTTAAAATAACGTTACAGTTAAAAAAAATTAGAACTACGACCTTATGATACTTAGTAGTTAGTACCATCCGTCTTTACATACATATTTGTTATATGGATAATAATTTTACATATTCCATGACACTCAACTTTATTTCTTTTATAGATAACTTTTAAATTTAATATTCTTATACATATATTTATAATTAATTAATAAATATATAGTTTTCTGAATCCGGTGCTCTAGGACATATAGGGATGGGCATGGGTAGGGTTGGGTCGGGTTTTTGGTCCACCCGACCCGACCCGAGAAGAAGGGGACCTCCACCAGTGACCCGACTCGACCCGACGAAATTAATTTTTCACCCGACCCGATAGATAGTTTAAAAAACCCGACCCGAAATAATAAAAAAATTATTTTTATTTAATAAAAACAGTGACTAAATTGAAAAAATAATATATGGAGGGGTATTATTGTAATTATTCTTAAATATATGGAGTAAAATTATATATTTTTCCGGGTCGGGTCAGATTTTTTTACCCTAAACCCGAACACGACCCGACCCGAACATCACATAAAAAAAAATCCGATCCGATCCGACCTGAACTAAAATATTTTTAAAAAAAATCTGACCCGATCAAATCAAATCGAATCGGAACCCATCGAATTCGGATTAGATGCCCATCCCTAAGGACATATGCCTTGTCTGCGATAATGAAGAACCCGTTACTTAACAAACAGTGAAACGGTGTCGTTTAAAAGAGGTGGAGGGAAACGGTGCGTATTCGCCACGTTTTTTAGTTTCTCTTTTTCTCGAGTGTTCTTTGTTTTATTCCTTTTGCGTTTTTGGCTTCTTTGCTTGTTTGGCTGCGAAAGCGAGAAGATCAGGCGAAAATGGCGTGCACACATGACCATAGCTGCGAAGATCACGATTGTTCTTCTAATTGGTCACTTTACAAGCACATCGACCTCTCAAAGGTTCTCACTCTCTCTCTCTCTCTCTCTCTCTATATATATATATATATATATATAATATATATTAATTTTTTGCTGGAATATTTTGAAATTGCTGCTGATTCATTACCGATTTCTGTTGTCCGTAATTGCTATTTGAATTATTATCTAAATGAATTGACATATTTTCCGCTTTTTTATTGGAAATTTTACTGTGGTTAGGTTACTGCTTTGAATGAGGCTAATCCAGGAAGTGTTAAATCGGTGTTTAAAGCATGGGAGGAGCGATTAAATTCTTCCGGGGTATTGTTTGGTTAAATTTACTTGTTTATATACTAGTTAACGCATTTCTCCCTTTTCTTTGTATGAAACAAATGAATAAATGAATGTATATATATTGATTTATTTAAATGAATGAATGCGTTTGATATTTTATGCAGTTCCATCTTTGTGCTGACATGCTTCTGGGAAAAATCATTTTGTATTTTTCTTTTAAATTTCTGTCACTCGTGGTATGTACTGGCTTATTAAGGATTACGATCTGTGACAGGAACACTTGGAAAGCAACGAGGGTGACCCTGAGTTACTTGTTTACATACCGTAAGTGACTGCTCTTAGTTGTTTTAGTACCTTTGATTGCATTACTTTACAGTTTACTTAGAAGTTCATGTATTACGTCCTTTGATTTACTAATCATCATCTACATATGCGGTTCAAATGTTACAACTTACAAGTGTCCGTCTTGAACCTTAAAAATGACGAATCTGTAATTTTTGTTTTATTGTTATCTTCATGTCACCTTTCTGACATTACTTGCTTGTTAATTTATGTTCGAAATTTATATTGAGATTCAAGGATCTAGTGCATTGATTCATTTACAAAAATCGTTGAATGAATCTTTGATAATTGCTCTTTTTCTTGGTTTTGAACTTATCATGTCTTGGAAGTTCCTGTCGTGTTTCTCATGTAATATTTGATTTATTCTGATAGATTTACATCAGATGTTAAGATCAAGAGCATCTCAGTTGTTGGTGGTGCTGATGGAACAAGCCCTTCTAAGCTGAGAGTGTAAGTTCGTATGACTAACCAAATGTTCTCTCACTTCTCAAATGATTAATCTTCATCTAGCTCTTAGTAATGAAAGTTGGTATTTCAAAATTGATAGAATGCTTTTTTAACCGCTTTCCCGTTGAAGATATCTTTGAGTTTGGCACCTGATACTTGCAAAGAACGTAAGGTTGTAGTGGTTTGAAAGGGATGTCGCTGCCCCCAACTCCCCAATCCCCATGGCTTTCTTCTAGTTATATTAATGAATGATTATCCTTTTTTCCTTGATTAGATTTATCAATAGAGATGGCATTGACTTCTCTGATGCTCAAAGCATGCAGCCTGTTCAGGTTCTTCTTATCTCCTGATATGAAATGTACTGCTAAATTCAACAAAATTTACCTAAAAGGTTCACATTTTCCTTGAAGGAGTGGGATTTGGTTGAAAATCTGCAAGGAGTGTTAGAATACCAGACAAGGTAATTGTTTATCTGCTCCATACAGTTGTGATCCATTTTTGAGCAGTGAACTTACTTTTTTGTGCGCGAAGATTGGATCTTCTTGGTACTGTAAATGTTAAAGTTGATGCTAATAAAGACAACGAAAACAGCAGAGGTCTGTTTCGTTCTCTTTGTTTTCTAGTTTCTGATTCTATATTAATATGCATGTTTAGGTACTCAAAATTTCAAAGTGTGGCAAATATTACATTGCATTTCCCTGAGAGTTTTGCTGGTGACACAACCCAAATTCACTACATTGGTTTTAAAGGCGAAGCCACACAGGTACTTTAATTCCCTCACAGCTTTGATGATGATGATTCCTCCCATCTGTTCCCGTACTGATTTATTTCCCGATTGTGATTGACAGTTGAAAAGAGATGTTGTTGCAACGATTGTTTATGAAATCACGCCCAATCCTTCTGATCACAAGTAAGCTTTCGCTCTTGCTAAATTGCATCATGTATTAGGATTAATCTCAACATAAGGGATCGAATTATTTATGTATCAGAATAGTTGTATAAATCTGTGTGCGTGTACAAAAGCCTTTCCTAGTTCATGCAGTAAAAAACTATTATTTCAAGTTTTATTTATGAAAATCGATTATATTTGTGCAGGACCCGTGCCGAAACTGGTGGAGGACTTTCTCACGTGGAATAAAGATTTTGTTATACGTGTGGGCTCGGGTTGTTCTTGTCAAGAATCTGACCGCTTATTTCAAAAATCCTATGGCGAAAATTATACAAATGTTATATAGTTGATGGAGAACCTTTACCTTATAGGGTTATTGTGATATTTTATTTCCTTTATGTTTCCAAAGATTGTGTGCTTCATAGTTCAATCATATGATGTGCGAAGGCTTAATTGTTTTTTAAGCTAACAATTGCGAAGTACTGAATAGAGCGAGTAACATTGCATTTGCTATCTCCATTTGCTATTATTACATCATGTTTCATTTCTCGGTTCCCAACTGCTTATATCCGGGCGATTCGTGATATGTATTATAGATCTACTACTTACGTCAGGACTACAGTTGGCGACACCGAGGCATTCCCGGTTGAAATCGGACTCCACCAGGGGTCGGCTCTTAGCCCTTACATCTTCGCCTTGATTATGGACGACATCTATTGTGCGACACCAGACGGTGTACCATGGTGTATGCTTTTCGCTGACGACATTGTCTTAGTTGCTGAAACAAAATATGAGTTGAATAGTAGACTGGCTACCTGGAAGACTGCTTTGGAAGAAAAAGGTTTAAGGATCAATATTGAAAAGACAGAGTATTTATGTTCAAACTTCAATGGGAACCAAAACGATGAAGATGTAGAAGTATGCATAGAAGGACACGTTCTCCCCTCAAAGGATTGTTTCAAGTACCTAGGGTCTATGATACATAAAGATGGGGGTGTAGATGATGACGTTACACACCGTATAAAGGCGGGATGGCTAAAGTGGAGGGCCGCTACTGGAGTTCTGTGTGACAAGAAGGTCCCTCTAAAACTTAAGGGAAAATTTTATAGAATGGCAATAAGACCAGCGCTGTTGTATGGATCAGAATGTTGGGCAACCAAGAAGGATCACGTAAGGAGGATTGAGGCCGCAGAAATGAGAATGCTTCGATGGACATGTGGTAGGACTCTGAGGGATATGACGACAAACTCTGCTATTAGGATGTCCTTGGGGGTGGTGTCTGTTTCCGAAAAATTGAGGGAGGGAAGACTACGGTGGTTTGGGCATGTCCTTAGGCGACTACCGTCGGATGCGGTAAGGAGGGTAGAGTCGATTACAGTCGACGGTGCCAGAAGGAAAGGACGACCAAGGCGAAAGTGGGAAGACTGCTTGAGATCTGATTTGAGGGATTTAGCCCTTACCGAAGACATGACCTCTGATAGGAAAATATGGAGGCTAAAGACTAGGGTAGTCGAGTAGTGTGGGTCACATCTATAGGGTGTATCATTTCTGTCTTCTTTTAATGTCTTTGTAGTATTTTCCATGACTTATACTTTTTATACGTTTCTGTTATTGGTATTTATGAAAGATTAGAACTGGGCTTGCTAACGTTGACTTCTGTGTATCATTCTCTTCATGTTTCCTCTTTTAAATTTAGCCGGATCTTATGTTTCTGTCTATATGCAGAGATTCTTTCGCAGGGATATTTATGCAGGGATTAATTTCCCGTTACAGACGCACATATGATTTTAATGACTGCATATGAATACTGTTTTAGCTATGTATTTATGTATTTATTTATACATGCATTGCATTTTATCTAAATTTTTAATTTTCTGACTGCCGGAGGTCTTCCACGGAAGCTACTCTCAACCTGGCGTTGGGGGTAGCCTACTACCCTACCTCCCCCTTACCCCATACATATGGGAATTGGGTTTTGTTGTTGTTGTTGTTGTTGTTTCATTTCTCGTATTATGAACATCTTTTGTTATTGTAAGTTGGGATTCATTGAAAGAAATTGGATATTCAATAATTTTTTTTAAAAAAAACTGGTTATTACTTTAATGAAACCAACAATGTTATCAGTTTTAATTTATTTATAAAAAGGAAAATTAAAGCAAAGGATTTTAAGTCTCAATTTTGAATAGATTAAAATTAAAGCAAAAGTTAAAACCGGGACTGATGTAAAAGTTTATGTCAAAGGGGGTAAAAATAAATTATCAACTGAAAATATAAAAAAATTAAAATATATATTAATTTAAAAAATCTAAAAATATATATTAATTTAAAAATCTAAAATATATATTAATTTAAAACTGGTAAGAAGACGAGTGTACTTATCCGATTCCTTCCGCTTCCGCTTCCACTTCCGCTTCCACTTCCGTTTCCTCTACTTAAATAATATTAAAGTTGATGCATATGTCATGGAATTAGAATTTCACTTAACAATTTTCGCGGTTTAAGATATTGAAAAATAAAAAAAGGAACAAGACGGAAGAAAAACTAGAGAAATCAACAAAAAAAAATAAAAAAAATAATTTGATTTTTCTAAAAAGGGATGATATAAATGACTTTAAAAAACCTTTAATTATAATTGAGTCCTTTTAAAATCAATGGTTCAAAATAAATTATATGATCAACTTAAATTAAAATTTATCTATAAGATAATTTTTTGAGATTATTCAAAATTTACATAATTTTTATCTTTAAAATTAAATTATCTTGATGATTATAATTTTATTAAGTCATTTGAATAAATCAACAAGACTCTTATAAACAAATATTTTAGGGTGCGTTTGGTTCACGGAATGTAAAATTACCAGTGAGAATAAAAGATTACCAGTGGGAATAAAAGATTACCAGAGAATAGGATTACTGGGAATGTTGTATTTTGTGGTTGGTTGGTTTAGCAGGAATGTAAGATTATCGTGTTTGGTTAAAGGAATAAAAGATTATTGGAATGTATATTTGACCAAATTGTCCTTATTATATATTTGTATAATATTACAAATTGTAAAATATTTATATATTTTCTTTAAAAAATTAAATTCATAATATTTATATAATTTTTTTTTATAAAATTAAAAATATAAAAAAGGTTTAATGAAAGGGTAAAAAAAATTTAACCCCTGAATTTCATATAAAATTTTAATTATAGATTTTTTTTGTAAATCTAAAATAATTTAAGGATAAATTTGTAATTTAACCTTCGTAGAATTTTTATTATTCAATGACAGAAGATTATATTTTTGGGAAAAAATAAAAATTTAAAGGCATTTTAGTACAAAACGTCGGTAATATTACAATACTTAAGGGAAATGAGGTAATGACATTCCCGGTAATATACCCAAAAAATCTACTATTAGTAATAAAATATTACCGAGAATAAGATTCCCGACCAACCAAACATGAGAATGTGAGATTCCAATCATTGAACTAAACACCTCTTAATATTTTGAAATTATACCGAATTTGATAGTCTTAGTTAAACCTAACACATAGCCATAGATCTATTCTGAGTGAACACAATAAACCAACCCGCAGGTGAGTGGCTCACCCCTGACAAAGATTTTCCCACGTCTTCGCTCCATTTTTAGCCGCTCGGCCTTTGCCCTTTTAAGTTTTCCCTTTATCTATAGTTTCCTTCTTAGCCTCCTAATGGAAGCAAACGGCTCTATTGTTGAAAATATCAGACTTTTAGGGTTTTACACTCTCAGCCCCTTAACTGCACTACGCGGTAGTCCAAGAGAGAGAAAAAAGGGAAGGAAAAAAAATAAGCCTTCCCATAAGTAGGCTCTCCTCCCTATATTTCTTGAATTGTTTATTAATTGTGTTTTTCCTTTATATATGATGTTCTTCTTCAGTTTTCGTGTTTTGGGTCTGAGGAATTGGTAATGACAGCTTTTTTCAAAGGAAAATCAGATTACTTTTTGTGTTTTGTTTTCCTGTTTCTTATGGGATTAATTTGTCTAAAAGCTTTTCATTTTATTTTTGCTTTTACTAATAAATTAATGATGTTTAGTTGAATTTTCCATTTTATTTATATATTTTGTTCCCTTGTTAATTTCGCAGATTATTTGTGATAAATACTAGTAGAAAGCCAAAATGCAGGCTTGTAGTGGAACTTCAATGATGGGTTCTTTGCAACAGCCTATAAGGATCAAAGTCGATAGACTGACATTCCATTTAAAAGGGTCCAGTTACTCTGGTATTAAGCTTAATTCTGTAAAGTCCTGTAGAGCTCAACTTGAAAGTAGCTTAGTTACTGGGAGGCCTCCCTTTTGGGACACTGTTCCCGTGATCGAAACTGCTTTTGTGGACCATGGCCTCAATGAAGCTGATCCCGACGTTCAAGCTGTTATTAACAAGGAGAAGGAGAGGCAGTTCAAAAGCCTTGAGCTTATTGCCTCAGAGAACTTTACATCCCGTGCAGTAATGGAGGCGGTTGGTTCATGTCTCACGAACAAGTATTCGGAAGGACTACCTGGTAAAAGGTATATCGAATTAAGCAGAATGCATAGAGATGTGATTTTTGTAATTTTAGATTTTATTGTTTGTAGCTAATTATCTTATTGTTTATTGCAGGTACTATGGGGGCAATGAGTACATTGATGAACTTGAAACGCTTAACCAAAAGAGGGCTTTGGCAGCATTTCATCTGGATGAAAATAAGTGGGGCGTTAATGTTCAACCTTTGTCAGGTTTTCCTGCTAATTTTGAGGTTTATACAGCAATTCTTAACCCACATGATCGAATAATGGTAAGATACTTCTGTCTGTTTTAGCTGTTGTATTATGTTCTTTTTGTTGGATAGTACATATATAGATGGTTCTTAATATGGTTATATAGGGTCTGGACTTGCCTCAGGGAAGACATTTGTCACATGGATTCATGACAACTAAAAGGCGAGTATCTGGCATATCTATCTATTTCGAGTCAATGCCTTATCGACTTGATGAATCCACAGGTTATCTGTCAATAATGTTAGACTTAAATTGTTTAGTGATTGGTAGGCTTGTTTGGTGACTGATTAAATTTGGAACAGGCCTTATTGATTATGACATGCTTGAGAAAACAGCTACCCTCTTCCGGCCAAAACTTATAATTGCTGGTGCTAGTGCATATCCTCGAGATTTTGACTATCCTCGCATGAGGAAGGTAAGCACTAATGTGCATTTTTGTTTGTGCTATATTACCCGCTATCACAATATATGTATTGTATATATTTTTTCATTTATCATATAACTTATTGTAATTGGTATCTGTTGGAAGATCGCAGATGTTGGTGGTGCATTTCTTATGATGGATATGGCTCATATAAGTGGACTTGTTGCTGCTTCTAAAGTTGCTGATCCCTTTGAATATTGTGACATCATGACAACAAGTACACACAAGGTTTGAGATTAATGTACTCAAATGCTGTGTTGAAACTATATGTTTGTTTTAACTTTGCATACTGATAGTTTTCCTTGTTGACATGTTTATATTTAAGGGTTC